CTTTGGTCATTAACTCATCCAATTCAGGAGAAGGGAGAAACATAAGCAGAGAGAAAGAGCTGATTCCTGTGGCTGAGACTTGAGACTGGCTAGATGTTTACCAAATGAATTTCCACTGATTCCTGGGCATGCAATTCCCAGCTTTCTTGGCAGTGAGCAAAAAGGGTGTGTTGAATTTGCAGCAATGGAATTTGGACGTTAGTGCTACATACAACTTCAAGGCTTGACTCATGGAGTCTTATCAAATGCAGTCCTCTATGCTCTTGCCCCATCATTGGCTCTCATCTCATCACTGGCTTAATGCAGAGAAGGATGAATCCTTGGAAAGTGGCACTACCATAAGACGGCAGGAAAATGCATCCCTGAATGACTCCGTGGAGCATAGCTCCTTGCTGATCTCATTTGATTGTGATGTGAGGAAGCAACAAACTCTTAATGCATTTGTCCAACGAGATTTTGGGGTTGTTATAGCATTTAGTGCATCCTAATACAGCTTCTGAAGATGATCTACTTACTAACAAGTCAGAGGACATGACTTTTTGAGCATGATATTTCCTATGACCCCCAACATATGGTCTTGAGTCCCATGTTACCCGTCTCTGGAATTCAGAACTATCTGGGCACATTTGCCTAATTGATGTGGCAGATACAACAGAGGTCTATTTGCAATAGACACTGTTGAATCTCCTGGGAGAGAATTTTTCCTCAGGGACAGAGATCCAGGAAGATAAGCTTGGCCTGATAATAAAGCAGTGCTTGTATGAGAGAAGTGGTTGCTCTGAACATGGCTTACTGTTTGTTTGTTTTTAGATTCATCCCTGGCCCAGGTCCAGCTGCCTGGGTATTAGGGAGAGAAAGGCTTGGTAATAAAAGCTGAAGTTGTGTAATCCATATTTCTTTGCTGCACTTGTGTGTAAAAACCACAATGTTTATTTTTCTAAGTTAGATAAATCAGTTTCAGTTCCTTTTCAACAGGGTTTGTAGGATTTTCAAACTTGATCATGTTTTGGTGGTTGTCCATGCCACCCTAGGGTCTTTAGAGCACCCAACAGACTTTCCCCATCTAGAAGATTGAGACAAAGATCCTCTGGCCTTTGGTCCATCATTGTATATTCTGAGATGGTCATTATTTAAGGTCATCTCCTCCATCAGGAAGTGGGTGTCTCTGTGCTCTGTGTAGGAAGACTTCTAAGTGGTCAGTTCTCACACCTTTATCTAGCCCTTTCTCAGAGGTCCTACTGCCCTTGAGTAAGGTTGCTAAGGGGAGACATAATTCCCATTCCTTGAGAAGACTGTCATCACTGACTTCTTTCTAACTCAGAGAAGCCACCCTGGGGATTGGGGCACTCAATTCAGCTGAAAACATCACCTTCCATCCCTCCTCCTGGCTTACTCTGTCTTTGTGGCTCCGAAATAAAAAAGCTGTGCACTCTTCTCTGGAGTGATGCTAGAAGGAAAGGTTAGACCTTTAAAGATACAAATGCTAGCATCTTCTATCCGGAGTGAAAGTGGGAGAAGGAGGAGATTTTTATTCCTTCATAAGTCTACATCATCAAAAACAAAACAAAAATGCTAAAAGCAAAAAAACAAAACAAAACCAAAACCAAAAAGAAAGCCAAAGAAAAACAATAACAAATAAGTTTTTCTTCTCAATAGTACATTCTGTTAAAACTATTTTCACTAAAATGTATAACATTTGGAGGGACAGTATAAATCCTTTAGTATCCACCTGAGAGTATCAAAGAAATGGAGCTACATTTTCCTCTGCTCTGCATCAGAACACCATATATATTTGGCACTGTAGTTGTTCTTGGTAGCAGCTATAATTTCCAGCAGAACTGACAGAGGTGTCAAGTAGAAGCTGAAATGTTAATTGAAAATGGAGTTTCCAAGAACAAAAGGTGGGGGTGCTAAAGAATGGCATATTACTTAAATCAGAAGGCAGCTGGGGCAGGTAAAAAAGAAATGTTTGATGAACACCAAGTAAGTCCTAGCTGACTTGGTTTGTTTTTGAGCCCACATGGGACACCTAGAAAGGACTCCCAGAAGTAGTTGGTGGTGGCAGTGATGAGAGGAGACTTTGCAGGTAGCCATATTTCTGCAAAAGCAGGGATGAGAGATACATGAATTACATTTAGAGTGAAAATGTTTCCATTGGATGGTGGCAGCTCTTCATCCCACCATAGCCCCGTTTTAATTGTTTCCAGGGTCTACCTGTTGATTCCACCCTTTCTCAAACTCAGTGAATCATTTCATAAATTGCTTCCTTTCTGGATACCTGAAAAATTTAGAAATAGTCATGTCGTTGTTCACACTGTGAGCTCCAGCCTCAAATGGCCTGGTAGCTTTTGCTCTTGCTGCCCTGGAAACCCTGAGACCACTGTGTGAAAGAGCCCAATCTAGCCTGCTGGTGGATGTGAGGCCACATGGAGTAGAAACAAGGAACTGTGGCAGCCAGCTTCCAACCATCGTGTGAGTGAGGCCCTCCTGGATCATCTAGCTGCCACCCAACTTGCCAGCTGACCCCAGAGATATGTGAGAGCCAAGTAGAATCAGCTGTGCTGGCTAAATAGTCATTCTTTTAAACCTCTACGTTTTGGAGTAGTTTGTCATGCAGGATGAACTAACAGATAAACCACTAAAATCATGAAGATAGAAAATCTGTACAGACCTATAACTAGTAAGGAGGTTGAACCAGTAATCAAATACCTCCCTACAAAGGAAAGCTCAGGAGTAGATGGCTTCACTGGTGAATTCTATCAAATATTTAAAGAAGAATTATCAGTAATTCTTCTCAAACTCTTTCAGAAAATGAAGAGGAGGGCTTACTTCCAAACTCCTTGTTTTTCTTTGAGGAAGATTAGCCCTGAGCTAACATCTGTGCCCATTTTCCTCTACTTTATATGTGGGACGCCTACCACAGCATGGCTTGCCAAGTGGTGCCATGTCTGTACCCGGGATCCGAACCAGCGAACCCTGGGCAGCTGAAGTGGAACATGAGAACCTAACCACCGCACCACTGGGCCAGCCCCCAAACTCATTTTTTGACGCCAGCATTTCCCTGATACCAAAGCCAGAAAAAGACACTACAAGAAAAGAAAATTATAGGCCAACTTCCCTGATGAACATAGGTGTAAAAATCTTCAACAAAATACTAGCAAACTGAATTCAACTATCCACTTAAAAAGACCATACACAATGACTATGTGGGATTTATCCCTGGAATGCAAGGATGGTTCAACACATGCAAATCAGTAAATGTGATATACTACATTAACGTTACAAAACCCACATGATCATCTTGATGCAGAAAAAAAATTTGACAAAAAATAAAATTAAAAAAACAAATTGTACATTTCCTTTCCTCTGCTTAAAATCCTAAATTACACCTGCTGTAAATAGGGCCCTCAAGATCTGTTCCCTTCTGACCTGTCTAGGCTTATCTCTTATGAATCTCTCCTTCATAGTTTCCTCTCTAGCAATGTGGAAACACTTTAATTCTCCATGTGCACCATGCTCCTCCTTCCTGTCCCTTTGCTCTCCTTCTACCTCCTTTTCACAAAGCTGCCTTCTACTCTTCCTTCAAATCACAGATCAGATTCCACCTTCTCCAGGAAGACTGATGGGTTGGATGCCTCTGTGTTCTCGTGAATCATATAGCTATTACTGCACTTAAGACTTTCTTTTAAAATACTTATGTTCATACTCCCTAAGTAGACTGTGAACTTCTTTGAAGTAAAGATTGTGTCTTATTCTTCTTGTATTCCACTGTCTAGTGCATTGCCTGCCTTTTGAATAAACTCATGTTCCAGGTTTCAGGAATGTAAAAATAAATAAAATATGGCGCGAAATAGCACCCAAAGTTTGCGGCTACTTTTTGCCTTGTAGAGATCAATAATAAACACCTATGGTTTTTGATCTTTTCATTTCTATGTCTATGAATTCTATTTCTCTCCTACCCAAGAAGTTGCTTTCTAATTGATATGAATGTTATTGATGCAAAGCAAATTAAAAGCAAGAACACAGAGATCTTTTTTTCTACTCGCAGCAATTTTAAACCATAATGCTTATATTAAAATGCTTCAAAATGAAAGACTTGATGGTGGTGGGGGGTAAAACTGATGTCTTTTGTTTTTATAATTCTGGACTCACAATTGATGTGTTCATCTAGCTTGGCTTCCCAGACAAGGGAATTCTACAATTGGTTTTAAGGTTCACAGCTACCTAACCATACAAACCCACCCAGCAAGGAGGCTTGTCAGCTTTCAAAATTTATGAGCTGTGAATGTGAGTTTTTAATTAATTAATTAATTAATTTTTTAAGATTGGCCCTGAGCTAACATCTGTTGTCAAGCTTTTTTCTTCTTCTCTCCAAGGTCCCGTAGTACATAGTTGTATATTCTTGGTGTAGGTCCTTCTAGTTCTGCTATGTGGGACACCACCTCAATATGGCCTAATGAGTGGTGCTAGGTCTGTACCCAGGATCTGAACCGGCGAAACCCTGGGCCGCCAAAGGAGAGCATGTGAACTTAACCACTCAGCCTCAGGCCAGCCCCTGAACACAAGTTTTGACTGAAATCTTCTGCTAACCTCAGACAGAGGAGCAAGGCATTTGTGTGGCATGAGAGGAGGTTTATGGCACCTAGATGAAAAATATTACACATATCATGATGGGATTCTCAGGTCTCTTGAGAGCAACACCCTGAAGTTCATGTTTTGTTTCTTTTTTATTTATTTATTTTTTCTTTCTGGTAAGTGCCAAGGCAACTGCCCTCTATTATATTAGTGAAAAAAAAAAATTGCGTATCAAAACTATGTGTTGATATTTTTGACTCATTGTGCGTCAAAATTCACCCAAATGATAACCTATGAACACATCAATAGGAATGAAGGTGGGAGAGAAGAGAGAATCCAATGAAAACAAGAGAAATTAAAATCTCTCAAGATCATCATTCTAATATCATTAGAAAATGAGTAAGATAAGCACATAACGTACGTACCCACTTCGCCCACAAAATTGTGGCAAGGCTGAGTCAGTCTACGTACAGAAAAAGATATGAACATTCTGCTTGGAAATCCAGTCTGCAAACAAAGAGAGGAAATGACTTAGCAGGAGATTCGCATTTGAACTACTCAATCAACTCCAAGAACAGCAAGGCAGGCTGAACTACCTGGAGATGCCGCTGCCTTTCCTTTTAGAAATCATTGGATAATCGTTATGCCATATTTTGAAAGTTTGCTTAGGATTTCAAGTTTCTCTGTGGGGTTCCTGTCATGTGGCTTCTAAGCAAAATTATGCCAGTGGTGATTTTGGAAATGCAGTTTTGAAAATGCTGATGACATGTGATGCTGTGCTGGGGACTTGGGTAAAAGTGACCGTCAGACTCTGTCCTGCTTACAAATGGGCAGTGCTCATTTGGATGGAGCCTCATAGCACAGATAATTGAATAAAATCATGAAGTCAAAATGAGAATGGGCAACAAGTTGCATATATTATCATTCAAATGAAATTGTTTTTTCCTACTGCAATACGGATTTAACTCAGGAGAAAGATGTGATATTTAAAAAAGTTTTTTCCTGAATCTCTTTGAGCTCGGACAGGTCACAACTGCCAAATTACGGCAGTGGGAGTAAGGGCACATAGGTTGAGAAGGGGAGGACTGGCCATTTGCAATCAGACAGGCCTGCTCCAAGAAGCTAATTTTATGAAATAGAAGCAAAAGTAAAAGCATAATTTGGTGCCTCAAGGGAAAGCCTAGTTTCATGGCTTTCTATTCTGTCCAACAGGGCTTCATTTTCAGTTTCGACACCAGTCAGAAAGCTGCTCATTCTGCAAGAAAGCAAACTAGAGCTCCTGCCCTCTCTAGAGAAGCATGGGACGGGCATGTGCAGAAAACTGTCCACATGTGACCTATGGCTAAAGAATAGTATCTGGCATCAGTCACAATGAGAAATCCTTCCTGGCAAAAGTGGTAAAATGTTAAACAATGAACCATTATTAATGGAGCATTTGGAGCAGTCTCTATTTACTGAAGATAATTAGTGCATCAGAAAAGGCCATGTAAAAAATAAAAGAAAATACTGATAAAAATCCTGAGTGAAGGAACTGTAGCCAGAGGAGTAAGAACAGTGTGGATAAGGGTCCCTACTAGTTTCTCTCTTTAGTGGAACTAGCCCTTTAGTAAAGTAATGCAACATGGTGGTCTGGGCTGTATGTCCGCCCAATATGGTAACCACTGGACATATGTGGCTATTTAAATTTAATTTAAATTAATGAAAACCAGACAATATAAAAAATCTGTTCCTCCAGCACACTCACCACATTTCAAGGACTCAGTTGCCCTGCGTGCCCAGTAGCTAGTGTCAACAGCACAGACAGAGGAGTTCCATTATTGCGGAAAGTTCCATTGGACAGCACTGGAAGAGCATCGTCAAGGGAACCTGAGATTGAATCTCGGATGTGCAGCTTGGTAATTGTGTGCCTCTGCTTCCTCATATTTAAAGTAGGGCAAAGTAATAGTACCTGTCTCCTGAAGTTGCTGGGAGAACTAATAAAAGGATTTTAAAAAAATGAAGTGTGTTGATCTGTGCCTGGCACATAGTAAGTGCAATATCAATAGTTCTTAAGTGAGTGGGTGCCTACTGCCTATATTCCATAGTTTGCATACCTTGATGCTTAAGTTAATTTTTAGTCTTATGATGACTAACATTGATTGTCCACTTGCTTCTTGTGGGCTAAGTGCTTTACCTGCTTTGTTTGGTTTAAGTGCCATTAAAATTCCAGGAGAAAGAATCTATTATTACTTAATAATTGAGGACACTGAGCCCAAAGGTCATTCAGCTAAGAGATGATTTTTGAACTTGGCTGACTTTTAACTGCTAAAGCATTTTCCAGTGTGGTGAGCTATCAGCCTCCAAAGTCTATGCCAGACTGTCTTTTGTCCTGTAAACCAAAATCAAGACATGTTCCTTCTGGCTTTACGCCTGAATTAAAGAAATGCTTCAGGGATAAGTTATGCAGTGATAACAGCTAACCATCAGACAGTACTGAATACACACTGGGCATTGTTCTAGGAAGTTTACATGTATTATATTAATTAATTACATCCTCACAATAATGCTCCGAGATAGGTACCATTATTATCCCATTTTATAGCTAGGTAAACTGAAGCTCAGAGACGTTCAATATATTGCCTAAGTTCACATAGCCAGTAAGTCACACAACTAGTCCACTGGGACCCAAATGCTATTTTAACATCTTTTTTCATAAATCACTATGCTCATTGCATAGGGTTTCAGTATAGAGACAAAAGTACAAAGACAGTTGGCCTACGGGGATGCTGCCTGACTGGTCCAGAATGGATGCTGGTGCTCAAAATGCACAAAGCCAAGTAACTTCACTTAATAGGGTACAGAACTACTCAAACAAGTCTATTTCAGTCCTGCATGCTATGCATGCATATCCTGACTCGCCCTTTCCTTGGGGAAAATAGGGAGAAAAGTACATACATGGAAATGTACTATTAGCTTCTGCACCAAATTTGGCAAAGACCGCGAATCACAGCCTCTCAGTAGAGGAGCACTCCTCTGCTGGCAAATGTTCATGCTTCTCCAGCTCAGATCCACTGGGTCCCTCCCTGCATACTCCCCAGTTTCCCTCTGCATCAGTTGGATCTCTGGGAAAAGGAAAAGTGATGTATTTGGAAGTCAGATCTAAGCAAAGACCAACTCTCTGCTTGCAGTTCTTAAAATAATTTTCAATGAAATAAAGCATTCTGAGTCAGAGGATATGACATCCTCATTTGCATGATTCAGAATGGCAGTGACGCCACAGGCGATCATTGAGGAGGAGTTCCCGAACACGGAAACAGTGAACAATGAAATGGGTACTGTAGTTGGCACCAAATGAACTGTTTTGCATAACTGAAGCCCGTTCCATCGGCCCCAGCACAGGAAGCTGGTGGCTATCAGAACTTCACAGTAGGTGATTCTTGTTCCCTCCCAACGTTTTCCTGGAGCCAGGGGCTGACAGCAGACAGTTTTCTGAGAGGGACAGAAGTTTCTGGGCTTCTTAGCCGGAGCTTACAGTGTTTAGTACCTATATCTCTTTCTTTGGAAAGACTCAGGGAATATCTATATTATATTGGAATGAAAATTTGTAACTTGATAGCCACATAAAGAAAAAAGGTCTTTTAGGGCATTTTATAAACCCCTGGAAGCTGTATGCAGAAGATGTTTTTGGGTCCTGGGAAAATGGCCCACAGATTCCATCATATTCTCAAAGGGGTCTCTGGCCTCTAAAAGAATGGAACTGTGTTTCTGATAATTACACAGTTAAGAGATCACAAAAACATCTTTATTACATATTATAGTGAAACAGAATTTTAAAAGCTGGCCTGCTGATTAAGTAGCAGGATTCACTGCAGGGAGTGTCTTCATCTCTCAATATAAAAAAACTCGAAGCTCTTGGGGCTGGCCCAGTGGCCTAGTGGTTAAGTTTGTGTGCTCTGCTTTGGCAGCCTGGGGTTTGCCAGTTCTGATCCCAGGCACGGACCTATGTATCGCTTGTCAAGCCATGCTGTGGCAGACGTCCCACAAATAAAGTAGAGGAAGATGGGCATGAATGTTAGCTCAGGGCCAATCTTCCTCAGCAAAAAGAGGAAGATTGGTGGCAGAAGTTAGCTTGGAGCAAATCTTCCTCAAAAACAACCACCACCATCAACAAAAACTCAAAGCCCTCCTGTGTAGATATTTTTAAAACACATGGGAATGTGGGCACGACTGTCTTGCTACACTTGACCAATAACAGCCCATTTAGTAGGCTTCTTGTTCTGTCTCTTCTATTCCCTAAAAAGCTTGCCATGATTTTGAAGGGAACTGCCATGTGCTTTTAGAGTAACACTTTGCACCTAAGTAGGAGTTAAAAGTCTCAGATGTGGATTTTCAGTGGTAAATGATGGCCTTTAAAGAGGAGGCATTGAGCATCCTGGCTTGTGGGGAGAGCCAGCTACGTTCACCTGCTCTGCAAGATTTTGTACACTGCTGCCAGGAGGCTTTTGATAATCGAGGGCTGCGTTCCTAACCTCTAGAGAGAACTGCCTCTCCCTCCCTGCACACGCATTCAGACTTGATTCCTCTCAGGCCACATGGAGAAAATGCTCCCTTTATAGCCATAGCAGTACCCATAATCCTGTGCACCGCATGAGCATACTATGGTTAGAGTTTGGTTGCTAGTGTTAGCGTAACGCCGTGAATTGCCAGAAATGGGTCAAATCAAGTGTCAATCGTGGTAGGAGCCATCACAATGGGAGGAAATGAAACTCTGACTAAAAGTCTCTTTTGTGATGTATTGACAATTGAAATAAACCACTTCAGCCAGAGGACTGCTTCTGCTTTTCTTCCTCATCCCACTGTCAAACTCCACTGCTGTCTTCCCCATGATGATTCATCCTGGGGATATTTACTGCCAAGAAATTACAGATTTGGGCTTTGTGTTAGCTACTGTCACTGGCTAAACCAAACTGTACAACAAGTACTGGAAGAGAGAATTAAAAGAAGTGTCCTGATGAGGTTTTCAATGAATATCGTTTCCTTCCCTGTCAGCCAAAACCTACAGGAGCAAATAGCTCAATTTCTAGTTCACTGGCAGCGGGGTAGGGGGGACAGAAAAAGACGATTGGTAATGTCGAGATCAACAAAAAATGAAAATGCATTCTGCTACTGCTCCCTAACTCTTCTGTCTACTAAACAGAAACTTAAGTCCAGAAAATAGTTGGCAACATTCGAAAGATTTTACACCGTTAATGAGAAACATTAGTTAATAAACTCTTCTGTTTAAAAGAAGCCATTTAATTTTTAAAGTAAGATTTAGATTAGAATGCAAGAATATCCACGTTCAGCTACAATTCTGCTGCCACAGCTTCGTCTCTTTTTTAGCCATTCATCAAGAACATCACGTGACATAATAAAGATCTCATCTGGGAGCCTTCCCACTCAGATTCCTAACAAGCTGGGTGCTTGTTGGAAACTCACATTCTCCAGCTTCAATCCAGACATCCTAAAGCAGAATCTGCGTTTTAACAAGACTCTCAGGGAATTTGTATGCCTATTCAAGTTTGAGAAGCCCTGGTTTAGCGTAATATTTCCCAAGCTTAGATAATTGTCCTAATCACCTGTGTGTGGAGCTCTTAAGAAATATTGTAGAGATTCTATTAATTCAACTCATTCTCTGGCTTAACAAACTTTCTCTTTTATTTCCCCAAAACATACTGATTAGCGACCACGGCAAGCTGACATCTCCCAGCTCAAAGCCCATTCCCTAATATTCCAAAGCATTTCTGACATGCCATTTGATGTAAATGCTTTCCAGAGCCCGTCGTGTTTGTTCCGAAACCTACCAATGACACAGCGTAAATAATGTAAACTGATAAAGTATGACTGAGAAGAGAGTGATAATGTTTGTTTATTGTTGTCTGTGGATAAGGAAAGTGGGATTGAAAAAACTGTAAAAATCTAAGAGCTTATGTTCAGATTTCTTTCAAATGTCTTTAAGTCCTTGTTCTATTTCAAAGAAACTAAAACCGGCAATGGTGTATCTAGTCTTGTGGGTGTGAAGCACGCGAGAAAGATGGCTTCACCCTTCAATCAGTAGACCACATGCGAAAAGAATTCTTTAGATCAAAAATGTGGCAAATGGATGTATTTTAGGTTCTTATAAACTCTTATAACTTAAAGGTATGCATATGCCATATTTTTTCTGATGCCTTGCTGTCCGCAACTTTTGTGTTGAACAAATCGAATGCCAGTTATAATTTGGTCAGGAAAGAGGCTTTTATTACCCATATTCCTGAATCTCATCCCAGACCACTGAATTAGGGTGGGGCTTGGAATATGTATTTTTAAAAGATCTGGCCATCAGATAGGTTTGGAAATTATTGAATTAGAGACTTCTGACTGACCAATCAGCCATAATAGAAGTAGGAAAAATTCAACAGGTTTAAGTATTTTTAAAATATTACTAACACATTTACTAAGGAGTTTCCAGAACTTTTATAATAAAAAAAGCCTTAGCTGATTCCACAGATAGTATTTTGGACATTGTCTACATTTCCTGGTATGATGTTTTTGAAGTTTTCCTGGGATTGGACCAGCTGGCCCCTCTGAAACAGTCCATCTGTAAACGCGGGAGAGGGAGAGCTTGAAACGCGGTCAAAACTTCCCTGTGTCCATTTCAGAGTATTTACGTCTCCTTCTGCACTCCCATCTCACTGACATTGGTCGGAGTGGCCCACATATTTTCTTTGGAGAAGCTCATTACTTTCTAGTGGCTTCCTGTTTCCTTAGTCACTGGTAAGCTGACAGAGTAAACTGAGAACAGGGCATTTTTGAGGAGAGAAAGCTGTATTGATTCTTGCCGGACTAGTGAACTAAGTTTGTCCTTTGACCTCTTGATCTGGCTTATCTGCTCACAACATGCCTTCCAGGCTCCTAAGGAAACCTGGATGCTGGAAAGTCTTTGATTTATGGAAAGATAAACAACCTTCAAGGGACAGGAGGGCTGGAAAATGAGATTATCACCTGCCTCTTAAATTACAGATGACGGCTACCGTTATTCCTGGATCAGATCTGAGTCTTGTCTTTAAGGCTTTAAGAATGGAGGTTTAAAAAATGATGTTTTAAATGAGCCATGTTCTGGACCTGTCACGCAGTCTGCAGTGGACTCTCATAGCTGCTCTGCATAGCTCAAATTGTTGGCTATC